TGAAAATTCCATTTTCTGAATACAAGATTGTATAATATTCTGGTCTAATTGAAATAGTGTTTGAATTATCTATCATTTCGGGAGATAGGAAAAGTGTTTACGGCTGGGTTGTTAAACAAGTGTAAGTCTACTTGTTCTAAAGTGTAGTAATGTAAAGCTTCTAACCACTTCTGCATCGGTATGTATACCCGTGATGCTATTCATTGGTAATGCATTTGGTGATTTATACCTGCTGGTGTCTTTACTGGTTTCTACTGGGTTAATAATAAAGCTTCGAAGTCCATTTTTATGCATGTGTTTAATGATCCGATGAGTTTAAAGAGTTGTGTCCTCATGCAATATGCGGCCAATGGCATCTAATATGAAGTTCTCAGTTTTTCTGTAAGAGGAATACCACTACGCAAACAGAGATCCTTCACATTACCTAATACCAGATAAGGGTTAACATAAAGAGCACTCTTTAGTGACTGGATATGTTTACCAACTAATTCCTGATCAATAGCACTAACCTCGGTCTGAGAAGCGTAAACTGTTAAAGCAACATTAATTGGTGAATCTCTAGATACCGTCTCGTGCTTATGATACCTCAATTTTGGTGTGGATCTACGTATGTAGGATTTGCGGAATTGGGTTTATATATGGCATATAAAAATAATTTAACGTTAAGGAGTAATTACAGTCAGGGATTTGCAACACAGTAAACGATTATTCCAGAATCGTTTTATTAGTAATTTTTTATTATTGAAAATAAAGTCCATTTTAATAAAAAAAATAATTCTCATGAAGGGTTAGTAAAAAACAGTTGTGCACCAAATAAAAAGCAAACGATGATGATTGGTGCAATTTAGAACCAAAATAGAACGATCAGGAATTTTCTAAACATAACGATAACTTTTTTGGAAAAAAGAAAATGGTTTGCGTTACCGTTACAGGATTTGAAAAATTCCTGATATGGATGTATAAATAGTTCACTCGGTAACTTGCTCCATGACGCTCATGTGATGTTTAGTATTGTGATACGTATTGATAATTGAAAGAAATATTTATTTAAGATTAAAGTTGATGAGGAGGCATAAAAGAAAGGAATGAGTAGCTTGGGGACTTGCTTACTGACGTAGGGGTGGACTCTCTCGATAACTCGTTCTTTGATACTCGTACATATAAATATATAAATATGAAAAAAAAATCAGTCGCGGTATGTTATATAAGAACCCGATTCTCATTTTTTGCATGTGATCTAGTCAAATATGTATATGATAGTTAAGAAATCCTGTAAAGCATAAATGGGGCATGTTATTCTATTAATCAATAAATTGATGCGAGCGAGAATAATAAGTTTTAAAGCAGTTAGATTGCATATAAGACCAAGGGGAAATCAAAATATTTACAGTAGCCAATCAATACACAGATGCACCTAGATCATACACTAACCAAAATATACCTGTCAAAGAAGCAATGCTAATCGTAAGTAGAATCTTAGAATACTTGTGGGAAAAATAAAAAAATTTTATCAATTTTAGTTAGATGCATTTCGATTACGCATTTCCACTTAAGTTTCAGGTTTTAGTTTTCGCGATGCAGTTTAAATCAACACTCAATCTAGTAAATACAAAAAGTAGATACTAAATATGTAAATCAAGAATAGTACATCAATAAATAACAAAAATAGGAATCGATACATTGGTAATGTTTTAAATGGTTGAAATTGAATAAAAGTACACTGAATCCGTCATTCATGGGTGACCTTGTATGCTTGATACTTTAAAGGTCATACAACTACTAAATTTTTGTCCATTCAACGCCAAGATACTAATAAGATATTTTATTTGAAAGCTTGTTTAAATTGTGGTACGAGTATACCATAGCGATAACCAAGGGTCATTTCAAAATCGAAAATTAAGTAATCTTTTATGGGATTTCATGTCAATTTCATATGGTGTTTACTGTTAATTATGTAGCAAGATATTCGGTATAATCATATGTAAAATTGGTACTTAAAAAAAAAAATTTCTATATATCAAATTTCAAGATCGGGTGTAACATAACATAAAAAATAAATTCCTACATACATACGTACGTACAATAAATACGAACGAAGATTTTAGGTTTGTGACGCTTAGACCTGTCTATTGTATAATGAGTTAGCAAAATTAACGTTAAGATTTAGGATTAACTTCATAGAATGAACTTGATAAGATAAAATTTAAATAATATGCACACGAAAGAAATTCCATCATTTCAGATAGAAATTAATCCTTATTTATCATATAACCTCAAATTGGTCTTATGATAATACCATGAGGTCAACCACAAGAACAACGCATGCATCCAACTCTACCAATAAAACTTGACATTCTTTCTGCTTCACTTTAATTTCGCACAATAGCATTAAAATTGCCAAGACTAAGTACAATAACTTCAAATTTTGTACAACTTTATTTAAATTTTATACAGTACAACCTTAATTTGCACAGATGGATCGGAGACAAAAGTTCTGGTTAGTCTGATAAAATTAGCCGGTTAATTCAATTACTCCGATCTATTGTGTAAGTTCGAGAGCCCTCTAAACTTCGAAATTTTAATTAAATAATTAGCAACTTCTCTATGGTTAAATCATTGAATTCTTTATAATATGTCGACTAAACGACAAAAAAGATTATTCTATAATTATTTACAGTAGCGTGCTTATTATTGTCGTATATTATAATCATATTAATATTGTTGATTATATTGTTCTTTGCTTAAAATTACTAGACCAATTTTTTTTTTTTTACAATTGTTTGAATAATAATTTTACACGTATTCAATAGTATTCAATACCAAAATAGGTTGTACTGTAGTAGCCGTGAACAATAAAGTTGATTGAAATTTTTGATACTGAACAATAGATATTTTAAGAGACGTATAAAATAGGCAATTTTTATGACAACTTTTTATAGAGTACCGTACAATCAACTCTCTCTTCCGAACAGTCAATCCATATGTGTAAAAGTTACTGTATTAGTATTATTTTACTAATCTGAACTCTATAATAATAAAGTTTACAAATATTCTGAAACTTTGTGTTTGGTTTTTAGAGTTTATTAAGGGTTCGGATTATTTAGGTTCGTATTTGGAAGAATTGACTGCATTGGCATAAGATAGGAATTTGATGCCGACTTTATATAGATTATTAAAATACACCGAATATTCAAATATTCTATTGTACCGAAAGCTTAACGATTATTCAATTTTTAAAGGTTAAATTCAACATGTAGATAAATTTTATTTTAATATGATTATTTCTTAATCTAATTTCAAGAACTTTACTAAATAAAAACTTGTTATATATTAGTTTAATGTTAATTATTTACAATAATAATTTCACCAAGGTTTTTTATTATCTTTATTTATTAACGATGATTGATTTTCTATTAATGGTATACTTTAAATTGATTAGATTACTATTAAGCTTCTTATTTCTTATAACAAGTTATTTTCTATGTTATAAGCAATATATTAATCATATTTAATCTTATATTTACTTAAATAATATTTATTTTTCTTCAAAACACATAATTAATATTTGATATTTTAGATAGACTTTTGGTTAGTAAATTTTGTTATCGATAACCAATTTTAATCTTAATTAGTAAATTAATTTCTTGAGATGAAAATACTATACCGTATTTAGAATTTCAAAGAGTTGTAAGAGTACTACAAATGTTATTCTGATATTATATAATTACATTTTATTTAATGGTCCTTCATAGGGATGGGTACGGCTGGCTACGGCTGGCTATCGGCTGGCTATTACCGGCTAGCCGCTCATAGCCGGCTATAGCCGATCAATTATTTAATTAATTATTTCATCAAATATCTAAACCAATTGTATGTTGGTTTAATA